GCGACGGCTCGCATGAAAGCCGAAAAGTGTCACGCGCAGCAAAACGGGTGTTATTATACACGATGGCGCGATGGAAAGTGCGACACTTTTTTTCGAACCGCGCGAATAACGAATCTTCAACTCTTCCGTCTCATTCATACGACACGCGCATATTTCTTTCTTTATGACGGGAAATGCGGAAAAGTTCAGTGCTCTGACAGGTGAGAATAGAGGAAGATCTCGGCCGCTATATCTCATTTTAAAAACAGATATTCTCTCTCTTGAGCTATTCTCTAACTACGTAATTCTAGAAAAAAATACTAACACGTCAGCTAATGTTATCTCTGGGCATGTACGCGCTTCGTTTTGTAGCACTGAATAAAAGTTTCTGGCGGTAGTTATTTCAGTTTAACTCTCTCGCACAACTCCATTGTATACGCGCATGCTGGACGGTAAAAAAATATAGAAGATAATTAAATTACTAGCAGAAGATTCTGGTGACTTTTTCTCTGACTCTCGAATATGAATATTTACAACAGTAGTTCAACGCGAGCTTTATCTTTTTTTTTTTGCGGATTAATTGAAATTAATGTGTACAAAAAATTAACTTGTAATGTAAATTATAATAGCAACCGTAACATCAGCCTTTCAGGGAAACAAATTTCCTTTAATGGATTATAAATATACGAAATCGTTCGAAGCACAATTCTCGCACAATCCTGCTGCTTTCTCGGCGATGGGGTCTTTTTCCACTTATTTATAACTAAGTCCTGGCTTGATTATGCAATCTGCTTTGTGCAATCGGGGAACACTACTGCCACGCACGGAAATGCATTACCCTTTCCACGGTTTCCACAGGCGTATAAAGCTGCCGACGAGATTTCGAGCAAGGAATTCAGCGGTGAATTCGCCCGCGTCGTGAAAAATGCAAACGCGCGAAAGCAAGAAAAAAGGAGGAGAAGAAGCCGGGATGCCCTCGCGGGGGTAAGAGAAAAACTGGAGAAATAGTTTGAACTTCGAATTACCTGCCGGATATACGCGAGGTTTGCTAGATTACGAGCATTCGTAAAGCCGCGCTACACTTTGCGCAAAAGGTGAAATTCCGAGAGGAAGAGCGGTAACTCCGTCGAATGGAATTCTCATTATTTACAACTCCGCCGGTTCATCTTCCCTCACCGGAAGTATATCAAAGTCGTATTTCTTCGCGAGTCAATACACCGTGGACGCGGCATTCATAAACTTCATAACTTGTTTTAATAAAGTGTATACTCGAGACAGCTGTTGCGCGAGTCAAACGAGAAACAAGAATAAGGAATATTTTAATAAAGAATATCTCATTCTTTCGAGTGACTTCTGTCGGATCTCTTGATGCACCATTGTTACGGAAGTTTTTCGGTCTACGTTCTTACTTCGTTCTTTACAGTTTTGCCATTTCTGCGAAAACAAGCCACACGGAGAGCAGCAAATACTCCTTAAATTCATTAATTAGCACTCCGTCCTTTTCCCGGTTTACTCTTCCTATCAAATTAGCACTTAACAATCGAAAACTTTTCTCGGCACGCAATTATCGAGCTAGAAATGCGAGGATTTGCAATCCACCATTGTCTAAGACCTCGTCGGCGCGAACTAGGTCTGAATGGTTTCAAGTATACTTGGAAAATGACTGCCACGGACAGCAAAGAACGCCACGAAGTGGCTAGAAGGGCACTGACAAAAACTACGGAACTAAAGTAACAAGCTAGAGTAGAAAATAAAAGAGAAGCAACGAAGAAATCCCTTCGAAAGAACATCTGACTCGGACGGCTTTCATTCGTATGATTAATTTCTTCCGCAATCATAACCTTTGTCACAAAGTTATGTCGTCATTAAGCGAAACTGTGACGAGTTTTATTTAGGGCCAATTTTGTCCATGGCTTCATTCTATAATGCGACCAGCGGATCTATTAATATCAGATAACAGAAATATCGATTATCCACTCCAGCAAACTGGCCTCTTTTATCTAATCATGAGATACAGAAACATTTCGGGCCACAGAGGTCATAAATAAAGATATCAAGAGGAAATAAACCGCGACCGCGTGTAATCAAGAGATAAGACAAAGTCTACTTTATTCCACTAGTCACCAAAACTTCCATGTATTGTACAAATAAAAAAAAAAAAACTAAATAATTAAGTAAAAGCTCTTTATGACAAACAAAGTCGACAAACAAGATTAAAAACGTTGTGATTTCCATTAAGCGTAAAAAATCTCGCGCCCGATTTCATCAGCTCAAAGTAGTCCAAATGCATCCTGCCTGCGCTTGGAAATTGATCCCATGATTCCGCAAAAAAGGACCGGGGGTTGCTTGGTAAAAACGATTTACTGCGCGCGGCAGTGAATGGAAGGAATGGAGGAGAATTTTCTCGAGATGATGATTCGAATTGAAGAGGAGCCGAGAGAGAAGGCGCTCAAGGCACGGTTAGAGGAAATCTAGGAGTCGCGATTGTCTGAACAGCCCGACGTCAAGAGAGAGAAGCAGAGAGAGAAAGACGGGGTGAGAGGATGGAACAGTTCCGTACACGTGTGAGATCTCGGGCGAGTCGTGACTTATGTGTGTACGTCGCGCGCAGACAGAATTGCGCGTCGCGGCGGCTGCCGCTGTGAAACGGCGCTCGGCGTCCCTCGTTATCTATATGTAATATGCATGGAAGAAAATATGCGCGCGCGCCAGTCTATAATTTAGCGGCTGCGGTCCGGGCGGGAAATCTGTGAGACTCGTGCGAGTGCAAAATGCACTGTGTTGACAGAGACGGAGAGCGCGCATCGCGGTAGAAACCACGCAAGCGGGTTGTCCCTCTCGGTTAATATCCTATGCCGTCTGTCGCGGTCACAGAAACTCATTGAACTACCGAGTAATAGAAACGAGGAAGAGATATTATGGCAAATTATCGTCAAATTTCAATTAACAATTATAATAAACCTCAATAAGCAACAGATTGTTGTAAAAATTAGACTTGAAATTAGACTTCGATTTTTCGGTTTTAGATCGTGTAAAGACTTGGCTTGTTTCATCTAAATGAGTGAGACTCGAAGTCACAGAATATCGCAAGTGAACGGTGTGTTCCTGATAAAATCAGGTTCACCATAGACAATCAATGGCGTAGTTTTACGTTCAATTTGACCGTTGACGTCCGCAAATTGAAAACGAATTCCACAACTGCCATGCATTCCTTGTACGTGCACTATGACGCTGTGGGAAAATAGGAAAAAAATATCGCTTTTGTTCGGACGATATTGGAAATGAAATAAAAAAAAAGATCACAGGTTTGCCCGCGTGGAAGGCATACGAAAAATGTGACAGAAAAAATCGCGACAACACATGCCTTTGACTAGGAAGCTGCCGATACAGAATTTTCAAAAAATTGCCCCATATAAAATTGTTATCGCGCGCGATTCCCTACACCCGTCTGTGGAAAATTTAGGATTTACGTGACAATTTTATTCGGCGCTTTAACGGACGAAATATTTAGACGAACGACGCTTTTTGCAACGAATCGACCGGCGCGATCAATGTCGAAAGCTGCCGCGCGCAACAATGTAAAAGCCATTTTTTACTCGAAAAATTTCGCGAACGAATTGGCGCGTAACGCCGTGAAAAATGCCGATCGCGTGGCGATAATATCCGAGATGCACCTTTCTGCATCATGTGATCCGTGTTCGTTACGCCGTGATGCAGACGAAAGTTATGCGGGTCCGGAAATTAAAATTCAATCGATAAATCACTTTGCCTCGATTTCCACCCGTGGAAGCCCGCCAAGGCGAGTCCCGAATGGTCCTTCGTGAGATATAATGCAGCTCGCAACTGTTATTTCGGCCAATTAGTTATCCGAACGATACCCGCGACGCGGAAAATAGCGGGAATAACAAACGATATCATATCGGTTTATACTGCATTATAAATGAGCTCATTAGAAATATACCGAGTACAAAGAGATAATAAAGACGCGATCAGCAGAAAATTATAATTTTAGAACTTTATTTTAAAAAGCGATTAACATATCGCCATTTCGTATTTCGATAAATTATTTCTCTATAAAATTCATAGTTTTTCCTTTATTCCTTATTTATTCAAAATTTTATGAGATTTTCCAGAAATTCGATTCGCAGGAATTTTTGAAAATCTCAAGGGTGTGGTCCACCATTAAGGTCTCTTTTTCAACACGGTCTTTCAAGTCGCCGAGAATACCGTCTAACGAGGCGGTTCAACCCGTTACTCCGTTTAACAGCGGCACAAAGGATCCGGGACTTTGTGATGTTTCACGGGAGAAGCGGGATCTAATGGGGTTATTTTTCACGTTTCGTGCGCGACAAACAAGGATGCGCGACAGAAAGCCAAAAGGGAAGAGCATAACGCGTGCCCGTTAAGAGAAGTATCCGGCCTTAATCGGACGTGATGAGAAAAAAGGTGATCGAGATCGAGGAGCGAGGCCCCCTAGAGGGCCTTTCACCTAATGGTTTGAGAAACCATATCCGCTGGCGTGCGCGAGTGGCCATTTATGGCCGCGCAAACAGATCGCGCACGGTAATATACGTCGATTGAACGTCGAACGTATTCCCTTTCGCCTTTGTACGCCGCATCTTTTCATAATTCTTTGTCTATCAATATTTCACGAAAAGTCATACGATCAGTCGCATCGAAAAAAGGCGGAAAATCGAATAAAGTAGAGAAAAATACATGCCGCGTGTATTCTGCCGGGAATATACGGAATACATATGATTATAGAGCGCGCCTCGCTATGCGCGGAGCGAAATTTCAACCATACTCTTTCATGTATGGAGATTACACACTAAAATGATTAACACGTTGTCATATGATTACGATTGGAAATATCTGGCTTCGGGCTGAACTTTGTTGAAGAATAAATATGCAGTGTATTCATCATGGCGCTGTTCAATAGGAAATAAAAATTGCGCTCGATACGCGATAACGAAAAAAAATTGCGCTTGAATGGGAATTCAATGCAATGTTGAACAACTCACCCCGCGTCATTGGCAAACAACGTCCGGCTGATCCTCGACGCACATGTCTGTTTTCAAGTCCTCGAAGCTATCTACTCCACCCAGCTACTCGATCTGGAACACAAATTTTAATTATGTTTAGCTGATGACAATCGAGCACAATGCCGCGCACTTTTAGTTAACATTCGCCGCGACTGGGTGTGTGAAATTTTATCCTCAAAGTCAATAGCATCAACGCGTTAGTTAAATCCGATATTTGACATCCAAACGTGCTTCTTGTATCAAACGCTTTTAAAGCCAGCGCGACTGAATTAATCATGTTGCGAATTTTTACTCGCCAACGATGATTTATCGTTGGACAGAAATATCGCGAATACAGTCGAGCTTGTTAACAAAATCAACGTTAAAGTAATTAATAGCAATTAGTTCTCGCACTTGCGCAAGTTGTTCAAGAATTTCAGGTTGTGTACTTAAAATTAAATGAAAAGAGAAGTCTAATGCTTGCAAATAGGATGATTTACTGCACTTGCCTGCACGAAGACCGGGAATTAGCGAGATAACGTGGAGATTACGATGGTAAAAGTAGTTGCTTCCCGCCACTGGCGGTTAACACAGGCAGTAAACCACCTTTTGCCTATATCGTTCCATGAGAAGGGAGTGAGTTATAAACGATGCTTGAAATAACGTTAACTCGTTCCTGAATGCGCCATGTAAACGCGATCAGATTTACGGCATTTCCAGCGATAAGCCATGACCCGCTAATGCAAGCCGGCTGCACGGACATAACATTAAGCTAGCTTTCAAGAAAGGAAGAAACGTATATCTCAACGTATTAGACGTAAAATGCTTCCTGCGACACGCTCGATTTCGCTCGCAAAAGAAAAGCGAAACTCAACGACGCTTTAACTAAAACGAAATAAAAAATGCATCGAAACATAGCAGAGCAAACATTCATATATATTAATGCGAAATAATATTATAATATAATAATAATATTAAAATAATATTATAAATATTTGAAAATGTTAATAATTTTCTTCTCTCGCAACGGTATAACAGTGAATGCAAAATTTCTTCCACGAAAAGTTAAACAACTTTATCTTCACACACCTCGAGATACGTTGCAGACTACTTCATGAAATGGCTTTCAAAAAATACGCGTACTTCCAGCAACGGTTTAATATCTATATTTTCGCGAAACCAAGCCACACCGTGGCGCTATTGCATAATTTCTCGTCGTAACGGATTGTTTTCTTTCATACGGATGTCGCGTCGTGTTCGGAGAGCGGTGCGTCGTTGTTGCACTTTGCATTTTTCAGCGAGTCATACGGAGTCTCATATGCTAGCAGCGGCGGTAGTAGAAGCAGCAGCTGCTGCAACTGCAAATCCCCGGCACCGGTGCATCATCCCGAATGCAGAAGGAATAGAGACGATGGCGCATCGGGGACAGCCCTCTTGGGCCGGTCGACTTCCGGTGCACCGTCTGCAATTCCGTTTTGCAATATTAAACTCGCCCGGGGATGAGTGCACTACGAGAGGCGCGCGGAAGAACGATAACGTTCAGATCCGTAGGGAGAAAAAAAATACACTCAGTAAGCGAAGCAAACTGTCCTGTAAACTTCGTTGAAAGCGAACAAATCGACTCTTCGCTAGCGAAGATCCGCGAAAGCATATATGAACCTTTCCTCGAGAGTAAAGATATTTTTCTCGAAATATGGTTCGATAAAATGCAAAAGCAATCGTGAAACGAGGAAAAAATTCTTCAAAAAAAAAAAAAGATTACGTTTTACATTTCGCCGATAATACAATTTTCTCAACGTTAAATAAGTATATGCCGGAAATTAATGTGGAAAAATTAAAAAGAATAAAATATACTTTGTATATTTTTTGCATTCATCGACTCGTTACATAATTTTTGAAAAGAAATAAGAGAAGAAATGCAACAAAAACATTATCTTACGTTCTTCCTAGGAATATCTGGGTTACGTATTTATCTTTGCCTCTCGTGAGAAATATATCCTTCTCATCTGGAGCGAATTAACGCGAAAGCGCATCAGTGCCGCACGACACATGCGAGGTCGGAGTGCGTCATAGTCAGTAAAAACACATTAGCCGGATTCACTCCCACTTTGTGCGGGACGCATTCGTGAAAAATATTCTTTGCAGGATATTAAAAATCGTAACAGCGGAACATATCCGCCGGGAGCGGAGTAACCGTTTCAAGGCAACTTTATCTCGGAGAAACTCATAAATGACATATTGTTTATTCACTATATTATTCTTAGTGTTCACATAAAGCACGGAGGATTATTTCGAGCTTTTTCAGGCAGTCCATATTTCACAAGCACTTTTCGCGGAAAACCCGGAACATTATATACGGTTCGATATTAGAGTAACGCGACGTATTTTGTCTTTTATCCGACTTTTATCTTCTATTACTACATTCGCTTTTTTTCCCTCCCTCGTAAGCCTACCATTCTCATTTCGTCGTATCGCGCGCGGTAATACAAAAATGAGAAAGAAAGCCGCCTTCAGATCCTCGAAAGTTTCAAACTTTGAATTGAATGTCAAAGGACCAGCGAGGTGGGGTGGATACAGAAGGAGAAAGTCGGGCGTAGAAGGAAAATGTGGCAAGATAAAGGGAGTTTCACAAGGAAACTTTTTCTCCTGTCGGACATCGGAAAGCTGCCTTTGACTCGCTTCTCATCGCGTATCGTCAACAATATCCTGTATCAGCAAACACTGAATGAAAAAACCTTAAGACTGGATACATCACGATTGCAAGGTAAAAATAAATATTTTGATAAACGTATGTGATATTCATGACTAAATGCTTCGGTACTTTTACAATTTTCTATCTGTCATCTGTTCCATCATATCAAACAGTATTTTTGATAAAAAATTTAACTAGAAAAGCATTCGGTACTTTTACTGCAATTGCCAATATTTTGGACAATACTTCACGACTCACTCTTATCATCGGCCAATCGAAAAAAATTTAGCCGATGGGAACTCGTTCGGTTTATTGCGGACCGAGATAGAGAATCGAAAATCTCTGGCAGTTCCGCGAATAGTAATCCACGCATAGACCACGTACAGACCCATTTCACTCGAGTGTCTCGATTACTCGAGCAATGCGCAAGCCATTTGTGCGATATTCAAATATTATGCGTCTATCGTGACATGGCCCGTTTCGTGTTTCATCGGTCCGCAATTTCGAATTGCACTCGATCTTCCATCGTGTCTCATAAACGAGATGTATTCCCCGCGGTTTGTGGAATTTGCATAACGCAATGTCTCATCGTTCACGTGTGAATATTATAGGAAATAATATTCAGTCAAAAAATCGCGTATTTATTGATCGTTTTCAAGCTGTGAAATAAAATAAAGATAAAAGAAATAAATAAAATACAATATTAATTTGGCGTATATTTATTTTGTGAATGGAAAAACAAGTAATTTAATTGATATAATGATACATATTTTTTTATCGACTTGCGTCTATTTTTGCTCAATATCGAAATCATACATCGTAATAAATATATTTTGCCTCTGGCATGACATATCGAAAATACTTTCGAAAATGCATCGCTCATTTGTCATCGACCTAGCTATTAGAAAATATGTGGAATAATGTGCATCTCTGCAAGATGTGGATAAATTTATGCCACATATTTCACACGAATCAATCTACCAAAAAACAGAAAAGTCCGAAATATAACGAAAACAGTATTCAATTCATATTTCGCGAAATGGAAAAATGGAAAATGGAAATCGGCAAAATAGCAATGCATATTGCTCTCATATTGGGGGGACATCAGCATTTTTTGTAATGAGTATTCCAATTTGCATGCGAGAAACTTTGAAAATATATATATATCTTCTGTTGATAGATAATATACGATATTCCCTTTTCAATCAGCTTTTTTTAAATATCCATTTCATGCCAAAATACACTTCATTAAAACATTTTGCGTAGTCAAATATATTCTCATAAAAACAAACACATATTGTTTTCAAAAGAAAAAGAACGAGACAAATCAAGAAAACCGGTATGTACGAGTAGAAAGAATTATAAAAGTTGCGTATAACATTTAAAATTTTCCGATAAATTTAAAATCTATTTTTTCTAAAAAAAAATTTCAATTCAAAGCTGTTGCAAAATTTCAATTTCTAGCAAAAATATTTTTTAGTTAAGAATTTTGCAGTTTTTTTTTAAAATTGAGAAATGTGTGATATACATTTTATATTATTTATATCATTTCAGTCGATTGAAATTATATTTCAGTTAAATAACTCTGTAAATTGATCATTATTAATCGCGGTACAGACATTTGCGATTCCTAAAACTATAGACTTGCTGGGAACGAAGAGAAAATCAAGATACATCTATAATCCACGCTTACTTTTTCAACCGCTTCATTCGGTTACCTCGACAACTGTCTATATGATATCCAAATATTAGATATCCGCAGGCGGTGTTGAGCGTTCACTTCCTATCGATTTGGCGCGATCCAAAATCTACTCCGGACCTTTCGCACAGCGCTGCAGGCCGCAGCCAGATCCGTTTTATCGTCGTCCGAAGCGAGTAATAAACTTTTCATCGTTTCGACCGCCGGCTGCGCGGAAATGCAGTTTCCCTGTTAGCGGCTGAGCGTACACACTATTTCGAATGGAGAGAACGGGCGGAAGTGCAGTGCTGAAGCATGGATTCGGCAGTAGAGATCGGCGGCTCATTTTAATCAGTCACCTATCTACTCGGCCATGCAAGCAAGTTATAAATGATGTAAAGAGGATAAGAAAGTGTTTTTAAGAAGACGGCAAGATGCATGAATCAAATCGAAGAACTCAATAAAATTTCTTTCTTAACCTTGTCTAATATTTAAATTATATAAACAATTCCGTATAATATTAATATAATTCCCATGCCGTATTCGTTAACGTGTATTTTTCTGCCAATCTAAGTTTTTTTTATAAATTAAATCTAATATATATATATATTTTATAAGAAAAATTTCACGATAACATGATTTAACCGAAAACGTCGTTCTTGGTAAATGGCAAAACGTTTTTAGGACTTTGGCGAAAGCTCGACTCCCCGAAGAACGATTCCT